CCTGCCAGTAATTTTGAAAAAACCCATTAAAAAATTACATTAGGTACTTGTACTCAGGGACTGACAGTGAGGCGGCAAACATCAAATCCTTTGATGTTGCAGTCCGCGAACATATTTACACACTAAAGTTTGCTCCTCAACATGTCAAAGGTTGCCCATACCTGGTTTATATATAGACAATGCATAAAAACATTTGTAACAATCTTGAGAATTAGGCCTTCATTGAAGTATTAAACAGTAGATGTCCTTTGTATAGATTTTATTCATTAATCTTTCATTGAAAATCAGTATAAGTGAAATGGCAGTATTATCTTAACATTCCATTATCAGTAATGTCTAATCTTTACTGATATGAATAAACATCCTCTGATAAGAGTATGCAAGACTTGAAAATAAAACAAGATTGTTATCTGCTTACATACAGTGTTTGTGTGCATAGTTTTTGTGCAATTTGATTGACATTTCCTGGTCCTTGCTCAACTAATGAAATAAAACTTTAGTAATTTGAAAAATTATAAATTATATAGAAAAGAACACTGAGAATTTAAATGTTTAAGTAACAATTTCTGGGCATGTTTTATTGAGAGTAAAGAAGCAGGGAAAAGTGGACTTTTTAACCTTACACTTTTATTTTTATGAATTATATGCTGTTTCATAATTGTAAATTAGTTAGAGCATCCTTGCAATACAAAATAAATGGAAATACTATTACAAATTTTAAAGAAATAAATTGTATGCATAGAAAATGTTCCTAAGCTTAGCTTACAAAGAAATGTTTCATATCCTGTACAACATCCATTTCATTAGTCCAAGGTAGCTAAGATATTTAAGGTAGTCCTTGAGTTGGTCATTGCTAACTATGATGTTGACCGTTTTCCATCAAAACAGGAGATACAAGTAAAAAATCGCACAAATTCCTTAAAAGTTTTTTGATCAAAAAAATTATTTTTATTGAAGGTAGCTTTAAACTTCAAAAAAAGCTATAGCTTTTGCTATAGTGTTCTTTGTAAACATAAACGTATGACTCACCCGCTGCAGCTCCAGCGAATGTTGGTAACATCTGAGCAGTTTGTCCACCAAAGGTTTGACGGCACGCCAGGCTCGTTCCTGAGTTATCCGGGAAGGATCCGCTATAGCTTCTCGAATCTCCTTCCCAGCACCTTTGTAACACTGTATCTCCTCCAAAATTCTTTCAGAATCCAATAAAACTCTTTGAACTTCTTCGAAAACATCTCGTTCTGTATCCGTGGGCGCTGCATTCTCGAAATCCAAAAATATATCATATCGAGGCGAGGAACAACAATTCGACTCGTCACGTGCCAAAAGACTCAATAATTTTCCCATTTTGTAGAATTAAAAATGTTTTATTTCAGTATATTATAAATAACTCATCGAGGGCACTATCAGCATTGCCTATATAAATTATGTATGAAAAGATAATAAAATGTCCTTTGAAAACACTTGTACGAATTCAATAACAAATTTTTAATAACCAATTGTTAGATTTAACAATTATTATAAAATTGAAATTACTCTTGCAACTATAAATGCGGAACACTTGCACGAACACCCGAGCACGAACTCAATTGACAGCTACTAAACGTCTCACGCCGCGCCCGCCCCTGCCCCGCCAACTGACATTTAACCACAGACTACTACGAAATTTCAGAACGAACATACCTTTTCTACAGACAACGAAAATGACACCTTTTTTGTTTTGATTAATTCCATAAAATCGATTAAAACAGCGTGAAAAGAGTATGAGTGTGAGGAAAAGTGGCTTACTGTTTTTAGCCTCATATTGGTAATATTAGTTTTATTCCTATTATTTTCATATGCTATAAGCACTTTTTTCCAATTTGAAATTCAAAGAATGGAATTAAAATATGTATTTCGGAGCTTTTAAATTATAGTAGCATCAATTTTATTGGCGAAAATACCATTGATTTGAAAAGTCCAGTAAGAATGAGAAATTTCGTTTTCATTTCACACTTCAGTTTATAACTTCGGTCCTAGATTTCGCAACTTATCTATACTAATATTGTAAAGAAGAAAGATTTGTATTTTTGTATGTATAGAGATAACTCAAAAACTACTTGGCCGATTAAAAAAATCTTTAATAAAAAGCTACGTTGTCAGTAACATAGGCTAAGTTTCTATTATTTTTTTAATTTTATGCGGGCGTAGTTGCGAGCAACAGCTAGTTATTTATAATTAAGATAGGAAATTCTTTATCGGAAATTAAATTAAAATAGTTTACCAGGCATTTATTTATTTATTTATTATAATAATGTATAACATCGACACATTGCCATTAAACATACGAGTGTAATTTACAAATAAGATTTAGTCTCCCTATTTACATAATATGTATGTCTGTTTCAATATTTATTCTGTGACGAGTCTGGTAATCCGTACAATATTAAATTCACTTTTTTGCATTTCCATGGACAAAAGTAAAATTAACGTTGAGTAAAAAATGATTATCCTCTATTAAAAGTTTGAATTTCTTTAAAATGTATCTACAATATTTCACATTTTGATGAACAAGTATGTTTATAGGGTTTTATTTTGCACCATTACATTAATTTAAATATACCGCGTGCATCTATAAGAAAATTACAATTCTTTAGCTTAATTACTGTAAATATTTAATCATTTTTCAAATAGATATTTATTGATGTTTGTTGTATTAAAATAATTAATAAATCGTAAGTAATTAAAGTAAATGAAACCCAAGCAGTTTATTCTGAACGTATAAGTAAAGTAAATCTAGAATATTCAAGCCCCTGTATAAATTTTTCCCTACAGATTAATAGACAAAAGTGGACAGAGCAAGATTTTTAAAATTATTAATTTCATACAAAACAATGATTACTACAAAACAAGAAAAAAGATAATCTATGAAACTTATCAATATCTTAATAATCGTATATTTTTAAAGATCAGTCTAACATTCGATAAAAATTTACAACATTAATTTCTAACGTTTCACATCTGATTAAGGCTAATCACCCTATTTTAAAAAAGATTAGAGGTTATGCTTATTTCATTATGACTAGAGTTGGATGCTTTGGTACATTTTAAAAAAAGAATTTTATCTAAAACATACTGCCACAAAATATAGGTAAAAGCAACTGCTAAAAAAAGTTTGATGTTAGGTTGAAAATTACGATAAGTTTTAATTATTAGAATAACTAAAAAGTAGGCTTAAATCGTCAGATTTAGCGTTTGATGGAAATAATATGTGATTATTATAAATTACGTTACAAGGTAATTGATGATTAACGATACATTTTCTTCAGTGATTCTAAGTAGTTACTTAGGTATTTGAAATAAGAATAGCGCCACTAATATTAGTAATAATAATAACCTAAACATTTTATCTAACACACGAATGAAAATTATAAATAATAATTCTAAAAATATATTGAGCATTTTAACGTAATCAACAAGAAACCTCGCTTCTGTCACTAAGGTAAACCAAAAATTAATGGTTTTAAAAACATTATTCCCGCGTATTTCATTTCCAAATATTTATTATGTTAATTGGAAAAGTGTAATCTGTAAGTAATAATTAAAATTGCTGATATTTCTAATTAGTGTTCCTTCTCTAACTTCATTTTTTTACATTTACCCTAACTTTTTACATGCATAAGTTTTTGGTTGTAGATATTTATTTTCAAGTCATAGATAATAGAGAGGGGAAAAGTGAAATGTACTTTAAAATGTCAATTTCAGTACAACTTCGTTAAAATAGTAAAGACCTGCAAGCAAATTTAATTTTCATCCAGGTTCTTAGTTGTAACTTACTGTTCAATAATGTTATCGAATTTAGGATTCACTTTAGATACCCTAACATCTAATTAATATCTAATAAATTAAAGAAATGTTTATAATGAACGAATAAATTTTGAAAAGACACAACAGGAATGCCTAATAATATAAACTGAAAATATTAAAATACAATCGTGTAGTTTACAATCCCATTCATGACACAACAATCAATTATAATAATAGTTTGACCAGAAATATAAAAGTCCTCACCATAATGCAACAAATAGCACATTAAAAAGTGTAATAAAAAGCGATCGAAGCGCCCATAGACTAAGATTTTTATATTCTTGGTTAAACTATACATTAACATCTACGATACCTACATTCGCTAAATTGTAGTCTTACTTATTTGGTGTAAAGATCCGTCTTATATCTAATTGAAAATGCTCAATCATAATTCCAATCGATAAAGCTCATGTCATTCTGCGTTTTATTCAGATCTTAGGCGCGTTATCACACAATATTGACCGACCAATTTATCTGACCCGTGAAAAAATAGCCCATTAGCGCCATCTAACATATATCGAGATCCTTTTTATCTTGTCATTTTCTATGCATAAATTGTCAAAAGGCCAGATAAATCGAACATTTCTTTCAAATTCCTTTCTTCCTTTTCTTTTAGTGATTGTCGATTTTTTGAGTTTAGTATTTAGTACACAGGAAATAAAAAGTTCCGAACTCTAAAAATTATCATTAATTTGTATTGCAAAACTATAGAAATTAAGATTTCACTTTGAATGTTACATAAAAACATATAAAAGTCAAAACATTTAGGCCACTAAGAAAAGGAAAGTTCTAAAAGTGCTGAGTCACCTTTTCCGAAATTCCTCTGTACTGTAATAAAATTGATCATAAAAATCACAACCGAATGAAATTAAGTTACAGATTTTACACTTAAGCTATTTTGGTGTTATGCAATATTCCACACAAGCACATAGTATTAAACAATTTGAAAATCAAGATTAGTAGTTAACTTGAAAGTTTTAACGAAAAAAATGAAAATGTAGACTGAAAAGGGTGAAGCTAATTTAATCGCCTAAGTGTGTAGTGTATCAAGAAAATTAAGAAAACAAGTATAGAAAATCATAACCTAAAAGTTTTAGATTTCCAACATGGCTTTAAAAAAAAAAACATAATACTGGCATGCAAAGCCAGGACAGATTAAAAATGAATTTGTTTTATCTATGCTGGTAAAACATAGATAAAAAAGGTTTAGAAATGTGAAGAATTATCGAAAATATTTCAGTGCAGAAACTAAGAGGAACTTTTCAATGAATAGATCCGAGTCTAGTGCTGCGATGTGCGCGGCGCGGCCGACGAGAGCGCTTGCGGTGTGTGGCAGCGCGTGCTGCACGTCGTACCTCACCACAGATACTGTGGACGAGCGTGATGCGAGTGGAGATACCATATTGTGCACCTGGAAGACACGCAAAGATAAAGTAATTAAAAAATCATAAACGTGATTATTCGTCTAATTTTTTTCAAGATTCTTTCCTCTTTTACAATTTTCAATTTTTGTTTATGTAATATGTTGAATCGAGTAAAGTCAGAAACTTTAAGCCATATATAAAAAATCAAGTTCCGGTGAGTTCCACAGAGAATCCGGAGCTCTCGTCTATTGCGTTAGACGCTGGCCACCAATAAAGTATTAGTGGGTGCAAACCCCACATAACCTTGTCTTCCCCCAGGCAGGATATCTTTTGAAGATATCGCTCCGATTTAAAAGACAAGAAAAATAAAAGCTTTAAATCTGTATATACTTACCATTTCTCTATAAGCTTGACCTAATAACGAGGTATCTTTTGCGGCCGCTTTACAAAGCTCTAGTCGTGCGGAATGTAAGGGCACATATCGGTCCTGTCCCGAGCCGCAGAGGAGAATATGTTTGAACTGGTGTAGCTGACTTCTCTCGCTGAGCCGATAGAGGAAAGACCGTCGAGGATCAGACGCATCACGCAGCGATAATTGCAGGAGGGAACCTGATTTCTTTAGTTTCTGCATGAACCACATTCCTGAAAAGATGAACGATGAACATACAAAACAAAAGCTAGGGACATAATTGGATTTCTTGATGACAAAGTATGTGATAATTTAGTTACATATTTATAAAGAAATGTCTTACCAGCATTGACTAGCCCACTAGAGTTGTACAATGTGCCTAGATGTGGTCCACTCAATGAGAGAAATGTGTGTAGTTTACCTAAATAAGGCTTCATCTGAGGCCTAGCGAGTGCAGATCTAATTATAATAGTGCCTAAGGAATGACCTACGAAGCTTATTCTAGCTGGCTCGCTCGAATTTTGAATGTGAGTTACAATTTCCTGGACAAGCCTGAAATGGAAGAAAATGTTAAGAATACATTCTTTATCTTATCAAAAGTATGTTACTTTAATATTTTGCATACCTGTCAGTCATTGTATCAAAATCTGAGAATGTATCTCCTTGATTCCGTTCCGACATTAAAAAGTCGAGCCTGGCGCCTGGAAGACCAAGCTCTAAATATGTTTTTACTAAACGAAGATCCGCGGCATTGCCGTCCAATCCATGTACGCAAATTATAAGATGCAAACCTAAAATTAGTACACCATTATTGCAATTTCATTACAAAAGAACACGAAAAAAAACTCAATAGTTTTCTTACCCTCAGGATTAAACATCCGATATTCATCACTAATGTGAAAATAAGGAAGAGAATTTTCCACTGGTGGGAAATCTGAGTATATGCCACCAGGATATTTAACGCTTTGTCTAAATTCTTCTCTGCATTTGATGAACAAACGTTCCGATTCCGCCAGCCCAAATATACTGACAAAGTTACTTTCACGTTGTTCTGAAAAATTGTGTTATAAGAATTAAATTAACAGAATCAGTTACAAAATTTAATTGCGGGTGTATTTAGTGTTGTGTATTAAGTGCTTCGAACTACTCATACCTTTGTTATTTCCATTATCATTCCTAGAAGCAAGTTCTCCAGTGCTTTGACTTTTGTTAAGCGTGCTTGCTGTTGGCGCTGTTGAATTAACTGATTGATGAGGCCTTAATTTTCGCCTTTCAATAATTCCTGGTATATCAACAGCGTATGGGTTAGTAAATATTAAGAAGCAAAAGCCAAAAGCGCTAATAAATGTTATATTTTGTTTACCTTCGCATACATGATACAGGGGATTATCCAGTTGCAGAGTAGATGGCTGACTTACTTTCCTCGATAGTTTTGAAGGAGTTGAAGATTTACTGCTCTGCCTACTTAAGTTCGGCGATTTCGATGGAGGATCCTAAAGGAATAAAACCATAACTGTATTTATTTCTTTTAGTTAGATAATATTATTATAGATGTTTCCACACAAATGACTTTTTTAAAAACATAGACGGACGGCCATAGGATAACTTTTAAGAATACAGAATGTATCAAAATAGTTAAAAAGCTAACAATATAGATTTAATTGTTCGTACCTTAAATGCATCCGGGGGCGGTGGGGCATCTCTAAATTGCTGTGGTGGTGGTAAATGTTCATATTCATTTTCAGTTGCATAATGACTTAAATCTATTTCAGATTTTGCTTTATTTGGATATTTCGAGCTAGCGACAGTAGATGTAGGGTCTGTTTTCTTATTGTGACTTTTGCAAGAACGATCTACTGTTAAGCTACGTATTTCTGCAGCTAATAGTTTCTCTGTATATTCTATTCTATGTTTCAGTTTATTTTTGTCCATAGGATTAGATTTTGCGGGCACTTGTTGTACTTTGGGTGTAATTTCCTTTCGTATGTATGGATGTAGATCATCACTAATTGTTTTAGATTTCTTTACAGTACTTTCAGTAGAGGACATAGGTACCGTACTAAATGATTTATTTTGTATTCCACTGAAAGAGTTATGTCTTTGGTTTAATTTTCTGCTGGGTTCAGGGTACTGTTGGAAACAGCTGGCTGTACAAGTGTCGGAATTACATCCCGCATCTATTCCGTTACTGTGCATTAATTTATTGTATTCACATTGGCTGTCAGTGCAAATAGAATCGCTACAAATAGTGCATTCTTCACAAACTTCTTTATCACAACATTCTATTTTCTCGTTTGAACTTTGTGCAGCTTTCACAGCAAGTTTTAACAGTCTTTCACGAAGTTGTTCACCATTTAGAACTGTCCTTTTAAATTCAGTGACTTTTTCGCCTTCTTGGTTTTGACATTCGGCAGTATCGTATATTTTGTTGGAAATTTTAGAAGCGGGAGATTTATTTGGAGGCGCATAGTTTTGATTTAATTGACAACTACCGTTATCAGGTGTAGAAGGCCCTGAACTTCTGCCACTGGAAACCCAACCACTCTGTTCACTTAAGCTAGATGTAGAATTACTACTTCGCTTATCTTCTTTGTTTAAAAAGTTTTCAGGAGGCAAAATTTTGAAATCCTTGTCCGTAATATCCAACGGAGGAGATTCAAAAGCAGGCGGTGGAGCTAGATTTGGCAAGGATTCCGAACCAAAAGTGTTGTTAAGATTTGGTTCATCTAATACTGAGGCAGCGCTCCTACAATGCCTCAACTCTGCTCCATGGTCAAGGCTGTATGGAACGCTG